TAAGGAGGACCAAACCTATACCAAATGGGTTCAGGAGAACTATTTGGTTATGACATGGCTGTGCAACTCTATGCAGCCACATATCAGCCGGAACTATTTGTGGGCAAAAAATCCAAGGAAATCTAGGGTGTCATGAAAGAGACCTACTCCCAACCCCTTAATGCTGCTAGGGCTTATGAATTGAAATGTGAAGTTAACAACCTTAAGCAAGAAGAGAAACCAGTCTCGGTTTACTTCTCTACACTGAAATCTTTGTGGCATGAAATTGACCACCTAGAAACACTTAAGTGGGAAGGCCAGAAGGATGCACAGACTCATAGAAAGCAGGTTGAGACTAATAGGGTTTTTGAGTTCTTAGCTGGTCTGAATCCTGAGTATGACATTGTGAAACAGCAACTACTGACAAGAGACAGTGTGACCCTATCACAAGCCTACTCCTTAGTGCACAGTGAAGAGACTAGGAGAAAGGTTATGATGCAGCATCAACCCTTCCCACTTGCCTTGGCAGCAGTTAAACCTAAGTCCGGAGGTGATACGGAGAGGGATGTAAAGAAGGAAGACAAGCGGGATCTAGTATGTGAACATTGCAAGAAACCCAAGCATACTAAAGACACCTGTTGGAAGTTGCACCCTCATTTAGTCCTAGCAAAACTCAGGAACAAAAGGGGTAATGCTAATATGGCTGTTAATACTGATTGTGCCTCCTCATCGGGCACAAAAGGCACACCCCTAGACACCCTGACTCAGTTGGAAAAGGAAGTTGGCAATTTAGCTCAATCATCTCAGCCACCATCAGCTCCCACATCAGCTTTTGCTCATTCAGGTACTCGGGCCTCAGCTTATCATGCTTCAGCTCCAGGTAACACTGAACATTGTTGGCTAATAGAATCAGGTGCATCTGATCATATGACTGGCTTGCCATCACTGTTCACTACCTATCACTTACCTTCTAGCAAAGATAAGGTGTCCATTGCTGATGGTTCCCTTGTTCCCATTTCTGGCAAGGAAGACATCAAGTTGTCTAATGCCATATCCTTATCTTCAATTCTACATGTTCCTAAGCTTAATACTAATTTGCTTTCAGTCAGTAGCATTACAAAACGTCAGAATTGTTCAGTAACCTTTTTCCATGGCCGATGTGTTTTTCAGGACTTGGAGACAAGGAAAGTGATTGGGACTGGCCGCGAGACGAATGGAATCTATCTGCTTGGAGAGAGTTCACATTGGGAAGATAGTGAAGATAGGAAGTCTTTTGTTTCTCAGTCTGTTAGTCAGGCTATGCTTTGGCATAATCGGTTGGGTCATTTATCCTTTTGGTCTTTTAAGAGTTTGTTTCCTGATTTATTTGAGTCTGTTCAGATGTCCAATTTGAGATGTGAGAGTTGTGAGCTTGCAAAGCATTGTAGAACGTCTTATTCATTAAGTAATAAAAGAAGTAATAATCCTTTTGATATTGTGCATACCGATGTTTGGGGTTCTTATCGCATCACTGCTATGGTGGGGGGGGTACAGATATTTCTTGTTGTTTGTTGATGACTAAACCCAGTTTTCTTGGGTTTACCTTATGCGTTCTCGAGATGAGGTTCCTACTTTGACCCAGATCTTTCATAAGATGATTTTAACCCAATTTGGAGTCAAAATCAAAATCTTCAGATCCGATAATGCGAAAGAATACTTTGCCAACCAATTAGCCTCCTATTTGCTTGACCATGGGATTATCCACCAAAGTACTTGTCCTCATACACCACAGCAGAATGGGGTTGCTGAGAGGAAGAATAGGCACATATTGGAGGTGGCCAAAAGCATCATGTTTAACTCCAATGTGCCTATTCGTTTTTGGGGAGATGCTATTCTTATAGTAGTGTATCTCATTAACCGAGTTCCTTCACGGGTTCTTGACATGAAGCCTCCATTTACCCTCCTATACCCTGATAAAGACTTGTTTACTGCTCCCCTTAAAACCTTTGGTTGTACTTGCTTTGTTCAAATTCTTAGACCTCAACGTTCCAAATTTGATCCTAAGGCCTCCAAATGTATTTTTCTCGGTGATGCACAAACTCAAAAGGGATATTGCTGCTATGAACTCACTTTTGGGAAAAGATTTGTCTCTATGGATGTTACTTTCTTCGAGAATGTACCCTATTATCTTAGGGTTTCTCCTCAGGGGGAGAGTAGTGAGTGCAGGGTTACTCATCAGAAGTTCCTTTACCTATTCCATTAAGTGATGAGGGATGTAATGGGGAGGAGTGTCAAAGGTGCCAGGATTTGAGAGTCTATCACAGGCGGTGGAGGCATGTTGATTTCGGTCATCAGTAGTCCAGGCCAGCCCCAGTTCCTTCTATGGATTCAGATCCAGGTACTACGGGTTCCATTGAGATACCTTCCACTGTTGAGCCCTTACATCCTTTGGATGACCTTGACCTCCCCATTGCAATCTGTAAAGGCAAAGGGCGTTGCACCACATCCACAGCCCACTGCATTTCCCAATTCTTGTCCTATGATCACTTGTCCCCTTCTTACAAGTCCTTCACATCTATTGCTGATATTCCTATCCCCAGAACAGTGCAGGAGGCCTTGTCAGTTCCTGAGTGGAAAGATGCAATGAAGGTTGAAATAGATGCTCTTTTGAGGAATAATACTTGGGAGCTAGTTGACCAGCCTAAAGGGAAGAAACAGGTTGGATGTAGATGGGCATTTACTGTGAAACATAATGCTGATGGTTCCATTGAAAGGTATAAGGTTCGATTAGTTGCAAAGGAATTTACTCAGATTTATGGTATAGACTACTTGGAGACTTTTGCTCTAGTAACAAAGATGATCACTATTAGAGTTTTATTGTCCATTGCAGCCAGTTACTCTTGGCCCTTGTTCCAAATGGATGTCAAAAATGCCTTCCTCAATGGAGACTTGCAGGAAGAAGTCTACATGCAGTTGCCTCCTGGATTTTATGATGCAGACACAGGAAAGAAGGTTTGCCGGTTGAATAAAGCTTTGTATGGACTAAAACAGTCCCCCAGAGCTTGGTTTGATAGATTCAGACAAGCCCTTGAAAGGTTCGACTATGTACAGGCCCAGTCAGACCATACATTGTTCATTAAGAGAGTGGACTCTTCCTTGACCTTGCTTGCTGTATACGTGGATGATATTGTAGTGACAGGGAATGATAATGGTGAGATTGAGTCTCTCAAACAACTCCATCAAGAATTTGAGGTGAAAGATCTAGGAGAGTTACAATACTTCTTGGGTATTGAGGTAGCTAGATCTAAACATGGGATTTTTGTTTCAAAAAAAGCATGTTTTAGATTTGTTGGAAGAAACTGGAAAGTTAGGTGTTAAGTCTACAGATACACCTATTGAACAGAATCACAAGATCAGTGCAGAGGGTGGAGAGCCACTTGAAGATAAAGCTATGTTCCAGCGGTTAGTTGGGAAACTCCTCTATCTTTGTCTCACACGACCGAACATCAGTTATGCGGTCAGCATTGTCAGTCAGTATATGCACTCTCCTAGGACTACTCACTTACTTGTAGTTGAGAGGATATTAACATATTTGAAGAGGTGCCCAGGTAGAGATATACTATTCAAGAATAATAATCACATGAAGATAGAGTTTTATACAGATGCTGATTGGGCTGAGAGTATTGATGATAGAAGGTCTACCTCTGGATATTGTGCTTTTGTAGGAGGTAACATGGTCTCCTAGAGGAGTAAGAAGCAAAGTGTTGTTTCTCGTTTTAGTGCAAAAGCTAAATACAGGTCCATCGCTAATGGTGTGGCTGAAATCCTATGGTTGAAATCACTATTTGAGGAGTTGGGTATTACTTATGAGAAGCCCTTAATGCTGTATTGTGATAATCAGACTGCTATTAATATAGCTCATAATCTGGTACAATATGACAAAACTAAGCATATTGAAGTAGACCGACATTTTGTCAGAGAAAGGATTTCATCTCAAGAAGTGTGTCTTCCGTATATCACCTCCAACATGTAGCTTGTAGATCTTCTCACCAAGGCTGTTCTAAGGAAGAAGTTAGAGGCAGATCTATGCAAGTTGGGAATGACAAATATCTATTCCCAACTTGAGGGGGAGTGTAAAGAACACTAATGTGGACCCCACTGATGTGGTCCCCACAGTGTTCGTATGGCAGCAATATTTCTGTTAGATATGACAGTGTTGGTTGGTAGTTATTTCAGCTTTATTATTAGTTATTTCTTATTCTATTTGCCATGTAAACAATAAGGGCAATTCAGACCTTTTACAGTCAGCCAATAGTTATAAATACTAAGAGAGGGTCGGCAGAAATTATGACCTACTCTCTCTCTTTTCTGAAACTCTCTTCGTGTACTTCTTTTCTTCCTCTCTTCTATTCTTCTTCTCTTCAAATTTTCATACTTTTTTCTTTTTAATTCAAGACTGATTGTAGTCTAGATCGACTACTATGTCTATAATAGATTCAACTTCTTGGAACGATCTCTGTTGTTTTTTACTTTTTAAGGCTAGACAAACAAGTCATATTGGCTACTAATTCTTGCAAAGGACATTCACAAAAGCTTATCTGATTTTCTATATGTGCATATCATGTCTTGACAAGATATAAAAGAAATTCAAGTTTAATCCTTGAGAATGTTCATAATGATGAAAGAAAATAAATACTCACAGCAGATCCAATGTTTTTACTCCAAGATCCGCCCAAGTAGGCTAAGTCACCACTGCAGACCAGATGTGTATCATGAAAAGCAGAACAATTTAGCACCCGCACTACATCTCTTCCTCCAACCATATGCTTGCCAGCCAGAATCTTTAGCAAAGTAGTCTTCCCTACATGAGCACTGAATAACATTAGGTTTACAGGAGAAAAGGGGAAAGGACATCATAGCTTTATCCAAAAAATTCAATCCAGCTTATCACCCACACATAAAAGGTCATAAAAACTGTCAACTAGAAAGCAGTGTTTGAATCTTATGCCCAACTTCAGTATGAGGTAGTAAGATTTTAATATTTTACATCCGTGTCAACGTCAAGGGGTTTGCACAGTTAAATTTGTTGCACTAATGTATATACAATGTCCTTATCATCTATGCTTCATAAATAAACTAGCATATATGCAGCTCAAAAGGATCCCCACCGATAACCTAACAAATATGACGAGAAGAAATCATGAACAGAATTCATCTGAAGGATCCAAGTTAATAGAATGTAATAAACAAACAACAGGACAGATTCAAAACAAACAAGATAAAGAAATCTGAGATACATTTCACAGATTGGAAGAAAAGGACCTTCCCAATTCTCAGGTACATGGCATCCAGAGAAATCTCTCCACAAGTACGAAATAGGGGGCAGAAATCGAAAATCAAACATGCCTGCCTTAAGGTCAGTAGCTAAAGAAAGAGAAGGGAAAAAAAACATAAAATATCTATCCTATAAGCGTTGAGTAACTGTGGTTTCAAACATATAGGAGGCTTTGTTATCAGTAGACTGTAGGGAACAACACAATTTCCCATGGTTGTATGTTAAGATAATCACAGCTGACTACAAGGAAAATCTTGTAGAAAACCAGAGAAGCCAAGAATTTTCTTCTAATTAGGGAAAAATCTCATGCACCCATAACTCAATTACGGTAATCGCTAGAATCAAAGAAAAAAATGATTCATATACCTGACCCATTAGCACCAACAAGAAGACATCGAGATCCACGAGAGATCCTGAGATTGAAATTGGCGAAGAGCGGAGGCTGCCCGTCGTAGGCGAAATGCAAAGCAGAGACTTCGATACAACTTGATTCCTCTACTTCTCTTGACTGCAGCTCTTCCTTCCCCATCACCATGTTCTGTTTTTTCATGTTTCCCGCTACAACGACTGCCTTTCTCCACTTTTGGCCCTTATAATCTTTGCGCTGTCTACCTAACTACCGCCCGCCTTTGACACGTGTCAATTATTGGTGTGGTCGACGTCATTATATGGGTCCACAAGGTGAACGTCGTTACTGGAGGGACGTGTCGCAACAAGGCACTCAAGATATATTCGTAAGGCTGTGTTTGATTGCAATATAATTTTACATTAATATAAAAGTATAGGAGTGCAAATGAAAAAAATGGTTTAATTTTATTTTAGGTTTTACTTTATTGTGCTTTACGTCTTAGTTTACTCCATTTATACTGCATAACAAAACAAAATAAGGTAAATTTTAAAATAAAAATAAATTAAAATTTACACTCAAAACATTTGCACTGCCATAATTTTACATCAATGCAAATAAATTTTACATCAGAAAGAAGGAAACGCTACTTTTAACGGTGGAAGGAGCATTCCCTCGCCTCTTGCAGTCTCTCCATCCGTGGATTGTTCTCACACCGAACTACCGAAGAATGCCGTCATGTCACAAGGGACCGTTTTGCCGCGATTAGCCCCGTGACAGTCATGCCGTGCTGCCCAAGATGCGCAGGTTAAGTAACATGACCCACATGCTCACCATAGAGGAACGTTCCGAGAGTAAGAAAGACTAGACCGTCATCGCACCCGCGAAAGTTATAAAACTGAGAACCAGAGAGGGAAGACGAATAATCCCCTTTCAAGTTTCCTGAGCGTACTCTGTCATCCGTGAATCTAGGGTTTCTTTAATGGGATTTTGAAGCGTACTTGCTCTTTGAAATAAAGAAAGCCTGAGATTCGAACGAAGTTTCCCATAGTTATTTAATCAGAGGTTTTGGTAAGGAGTCGGTCTCAGTCATCTATAATTGTAATCTCCAAGTCGATTTCATCTATCCGATCCATTTGTTCTTCATTGTCCATTTCTTTGGCTGTTTTAAGAGATTTTTCGTTTAATTTTGGTGTTTTCCGTTGTATCTACATCTAAATTCTTCTGATTCTAGATTTCCTTTTGTTTTATTGATTTTTTAATTTCCATTCTCGTGTGTATATAATTTTTTAAAATGTCATACTGCGCTTTTCTATTTATTTCATCTAATTTTCTTCTGGCGGAACAAAGAGAAATCATTAAAGAAGAAGAAGATGCTGGATTTAGTTCATATTTAAGGCCGGATTAATTACGCTTTGATCAAGCCTGTTATTGCGCCACTTCTTGGAAATAGGCTAAAAGTGTGGCACAAATGTGCCAGGGATTTCGCTAAGCTATTCCGGGATTCAACCAAGCCGGACTCGTGCTTACCTTTTTGTCTTTTTGGAAATTGCACGTTTCCAAGTTCAAAGAAAATTATCTCCATGCATCCGAATTGCCAGAGATTCTGCTTAGAGAAATCAAACAAGGATTTAAGTCAACTCAAGGGCAGAACTTAAGGTGAAGTCCAAGAGAATGGTTAGAACATGAATGTCTCGAGTGAAAGACAAAGAAAAAGGAGAGACCTAGTCCTCTTCAAATGAGCTCCTTTGGTTGAACCTCTTCCATGGGTGGAAGAGGTGAGCAGATACCAGGTGGTAGTCCATAAAGAGAATGCTTTAGAGAATTGTTGCTCAATAGGTCTTCGTTTCTTTGGATCACCTCCTCTATGGGTGGAAGAGGTAGGCAGAAACCAGGGCACTCTGCACAAACAAGCCCTTGCACATGCAGTCCTGGTGCTTAACTCTTTATTAGGCACCCCGCCCACATAAACAAGCATAAAGAAATGTGTAGAACCTTTTTATTTCTTCTTCTTGTTATCTTTTTGGTCAATAACAAATAACGTTTCATTAAAAAATTAAGCCTTAAGCACATGAAAGGGGAGATAAGCTATCTTAACTCTCCATGGAAAACTGAAGGCCACCCAAAAAGAAAAATACATTTACAGATGAGCCCAAAATAAATAATCCCTATTCACCCCTTGTTTAGCTAACCCATCAGCTAAAGAATTTGCACTTCTCTTCACCCATGTACATTTTACATCAATGTCCTTTGTCAACCATTTGAACTTCTTCTTTTATTACTGTAGTTCCACAGCCCATTCTCATCTTCCTTTAACCAGCCCACTACCACCTCAGAATCTTCTTCTTATTAGCTTGGAAAGTTTCCTTTCTTAGGGAATGTGGGGCAAAGTAAAAAGATTTTCACAAAAAAAATGGAACAATGTGAAAAACAGTAAGCAGTGTTTTATAAAGCAGGAAAATTTTAAGGTTTGAGTCTCAATAAAAGTATAAATCCTTTTGAAATTTAAAATATTTCAATAAATGAACAAGAATAAGAAAAGCAAGAAGATACTTCAACTGGAACTCTGCTCACTCTGGTAGAATACAAATTGTAATTGATATCATATTGTTACGGCATGAGTTGTATTCTTGCAAAGTGATCAATGTATTACACTGAAGTTATAAGGGAAAAATTAATATTTGAGATGTTTTCCTCTGTAAATGCTGACATGGGACTTATCAGATAATTCAATTGAGCTCCATGTTAGCTTGTTCTGGCATCCCATGGTGTGGTATTATTGTCCAGTGCTTTATGAGCTTAATGATAACTTTGACTCCACCATCAGTTAAGGAAATACTGTTAAATGGCTCATCAATCGGGCAAAGACGATGTATCAAACTTCATGTCATGAAGTAGGATGTCTAATTATTTTTAGTATGGAAAGCTTATCTGTGTGAACCAGTGTCCATCTTTCTATTTCCCCATTACAAATTAATTGATGGGTTGCTTATGTGCATCTTAATTAATTAGGTTATTGGGTTTAGTTCATATTTAGACTTCCCATTTTAAATTTTCCATATTTCAAATGAATTCACTATGAAAGAGAAAATATTCAATATTTCTTTAATCATGATTGTATTCTATCTTGTCTTCTGAAAATAAAGGGATTCTGTAATAACAAGTTTTTGTGCATTCAGGAGATCAATGCATGTATAACTTTTATAATTCACACTCCCTAACCTAAACATAAGGTTGATCTATAAAATAAACTTCTGCTGCAAAATTGGTATCATAACTCTAAACCCAAAGAAAAGCTATTATTGAATTATTTTACTTGAGAATGCATTTGAAAAATGAATAACACATCCTTCTGTTTCTGATAGGTGGCTCTTCTTGTCTGCATCATGATTTATAGAGTGCGCTAACTAATCTAATTTCATGGAGGAAGAAGAGGAGGATAGGATTCTGTTAAGCAGTTTAGGTGTAACATCTGCCAATCCTGAAGATATTGAACGTGGCATATTTACAGAGGTCTCACATTTGATTTCTTATTTGGTTCTTCCTGATTCCTTTATGAATCTTCACGGCAAATGATGCTCAGATAGCTACTTCTACAACAGAGGAGTAAATGGAACTTATTTCATCTGTCTTTGTATTATAATTTGAACAACTTCATTAACTTTTCATGTCTTTCTGCTAGTTTATTTCTTTTAATTTTTTATTGCTGAATCATGATACCCATTAATCAATTTTATCTGCATCGATGAACTTTCTTCTTTTAGCTTTCTTATGTGTTACGAACAGAGCCACTTAGATTACTAGTTGATCCACTAATTAAGAACAATGATGAAGGACCCATTCCTATGCATTGGAATATGTGAACAAGATGAAAAATTTATGATGAAAGATAGAATACAGTTGGCAAAACTGTATGACTGGTGCTGAGTAGAGATTTTAGAAATAAGAAATTTTAAGAAAGGCCAAGATAAAGAAGAAGATGTTACTGTATTAACTAGACAACATACTAATGAATTATGAAGAGAAGAAAATATTAAAAACCTGTTTACAACCAAAATTCACTAAACCAAACTTTTGCTCATAAATAACTCTTCTTATTTTCAATTACAATGACAATATTTATAGACTGAACACAAGGGCTTGTATGTGTCTTTACTAACCCCAAATCCAACTACGAAACTGACCAGACTTGATTTAATTCCATTTCAATTAAGTTATACCCATATTCTAACTCTTAAATCAATTCTAAAATTCCAAATATCCTTTACTAATTCTACAAAAAGTCTAAAACTAAAAAGTCAAAGAGAATTCCAAAATAAACCCAAAAATAGGAACATGCTAATTGTGTCATAGGTTTACACCCTATTGCTAAAATTGTCATGACTCTCTCAAAACATGTCAGATGTATAAAATTTTGATCCCATTGGACAGATAGCTTTATAACCTATCTAATGATACCATTTGGCCCCTAAAATTAGGTCGAAAGAAAAGCAGTTTAATTACAACCACATCTCTTTAAAATTCTAAAAGCTATCTAATAAGAATAAAAAATTAAAAATTAAAATAACCAAAATGTTACAAAATTGCCATTGGTGTAACAATTTGAAAGAACTTGATTTCTTCTACCATGTTTTTTATCAATAATAGAACCATTTCATTAAAGAAGAAATAGATGAAACAATTTTAGAAGCGGGGAGAGGTAAACCCTCTTAACTCTCCCCAAAAAGAATAGTAAAATTACAACATAGCCCAAAAACAGATGATTCCTTCCCACCCCTTGTTTGGCAAGTGCATCTACAAAGGAATTAGCACATCTATGGACCCGTTGCAGTCTCGCTTCCATACCCTGAGTCAACCACTAGAAATTTCTTCATTCATTAATGTAAGGCTACATGCCATCATCCTCCTTTAGCCATCCTATTACCACTTTTGAGTCTCCTTCAATGATTAACCTACTAATATTTAGATCTTTAGCCCTTTTGCACCCTCCAAAACAACCATAATTTTAGCTGAGAGCAAGACTCCTACTCCAATTGGGCATGAAAACAGAGCAGTGACCACACCTCTCTCACTCTTAAAAATTCCTCCAATCCCTAAAGGCCCAGGGTTAGCTTCACTGCTGCCATCAAATTTCAACTTAGTGAAACCTGAAACTAGTGGAATCCACAAAGGATAGGAAACAATTCTACTAGGGGCTGAGGCTGCCACTTCCGGTTATTTAGCAAAACCATTGTAGGAGTATCATCAAATAAAGCCAAAGATTTCACCCAATGAACCACCCTAGTAGTGATTACCTCAATAATTGCCCCTCTACTCCTCTCCTTATCAGCAAAAATTCTTTGGTTCCTTTCCTCCCAAACTGTTCAACAAATCACAGCTCTTGAGCATCTCCATAGCAGTCTTTCCCTCTTCTTTGTCTAGTTACCAGAAATAAAGTCAATGAGGCTTTGCACATTTGGTGGAGTCCACCTACAACCAAACAAAGAGAGAAACCAATCCCATATAGAAAAAACAAAAAGGAAATGAGATTAATAAGTGGTAACAAAGACTCACCATTAGAATTACCAAAAAAAAAAGCCTCACCATTAGCTTTATAGAAAATGCACCAGTTAGGAGATAAGCACCAAAAAGTCTTTTTGTTTGAAGTGTTGATTCTTCCCAAGAATACTTCCCAACGAACACCCCAATCCTTGTAGGAATCGGTTTACCCCGAACTTCCTTAACGGAAAAAAGTTGCCTAAGACTATTGGAAGGTCAAGCCAATGCTTTGAAAAAGAGGCACAAGTAAAAAAATACTAGAAGAGGATAGAGTCTAAATCTGGGAGTTCAATTAGAAAGATCCAAGAACACCATTTGTAGAATTTGAAGCAATGCCAAGACATTGTCCATATTCGAGTCTCTGATTCCCCTCCTAAAACCCAAGTCCCATTCAAGCTCAGAACCCACTACAGAACAAGACAAGAAGGTGGCCACAAGCATATTTTTATAGTTAGAGATGGTTAATAAAGATGGGAATTGATCTTTTAGTGGTGAACTCCCCACCCAAACATGTTCCCAAAACTTAACTAAATTTTCAGAGCACAAATTATACCTGATAAAAGGTAGGAATAAAGGAAGGATAACGTGTATAGATTTCCAAGCAGCAGCACTAGTAGCTTGAGCCAATACTCCCGCATCCCAACCCTCAGCCACCAGCCCGTGAATGCTTAAAATCACCTTTGCCCAAATTTTGTCCTTATCTACTGCAATCTCCATAGCCATTTCCCTAACAGTGCCATATTCCTCTTCTAAATGTTCCTAATTTCTAAGCCACCAAAATTCCTGCTTCTACTTACAACTTCCTTTCTTTCCTCTCCTGGTTCCCACAAAAAATCTCTGATCAGTTTCTCTAGACTTCTACGAACCCTTACTGGAATTTTGAACACCGAGAGGAAGTAAACAAGCAAGTTGGCAAAAGTTGATTTTATTAAAGTAATTCTGCCACCCAAAGATAAATAATTCTTCTTCCAAGAAGCTAGTCTCTTTGTAAATTTGTCCACCACAGGGTTCCAGAAACTTACTTTTCTTAGATTATTTCCCAAGAGTAAGCCCAAGTAATTCATCGGCCATTGGGAAACTTCACAACCCAAAATAGTTGCACAATCTGACATCTCCCTTTCATCCATATTGATCCCCACTATACAATTCTTATTAAAATTGATTTTTAGATTTGACATCTACTCGGAGAATTGATCCCCACTACACAACTCTTCTACCATGCTTTCTTTCCTTTTTTCCTGCACCTACATAAAAGGCCATTGTTGGTCCCAGACTTCCAGTTATCTAGGTCTTGGGAGGGGTAAACTGGATACAGAACTAACCTTTGGCATTTTTTAACTAAGTACCCACTCTCAGACATGAACCCACATTCTCACACTTGTCAGCCTAGATTTTACAATTGAAAGCTAAATTACTGTAGCCGAAGTAGCAGAAAAGAGAAGAAGAAGAAGAAGAAGAGATGCTGGAATGTCGAACTCCTCTGCTCAGTCGACAGTACTATTATTTATATTATGGTGTAGTACAGGAAGTTACTAGAATGCCCCTGATTAGTGATGGGACACCCAGACAACTTAAAACATTAAACAGGATTAGGCCCATTAACAAAAGCCCAGTACAGGACAACTTAAACTTAAGTATAGGCTAATAAGAACTCTTATCAGCCGAATGCCCATACATACAAAGACTTCAATCCAACAACAATTACACCTGTTTCAACAAAGAAATAAACCAAAAGGAAAAAGAAAGATGAAGAGAAGTATTGGCCAGTTTAGTAAAGGCTCCAGGTTCAGTAAAAGTAAAACAGGTATAAAGAACATTTTCACAAAGGCCGTTCTTTCATGGCAGGTGAAAAATGATGTTGGAAATGGGAGTGAAGCTGAAGAGAGCACTGAGGAACAACTTCTCCAAGAAGAAAAAGACATTGGCCCATCATCTACTCGCCGAGCCAAACTTTATAACAAATTGCGGGCAGTAGAAGTTGAGATCAATGCTGTTGCAGCTAGTGTCGAACATGCAAGGAATGCCGCTAGTGTCTTAGATAGTATTGATAATGAGGAGAAAGAAGACTTTCAGGATGATGGAAATGTTGTTCAGGCTTCTCCAAATGGATTAACCCTTCATCGTGCCCTAGCTGCTGATCGTCTGAACAGCCTCAAGAAAACAAAAGCTCAGCTCGAGAAACAACTTTCAGAGTTGGATAAGAATGACACTACAACAAGCATTGCACATGATAAGTTGATTCATGATCTGATTAAGGAAGATCCAAGACCTAAACGAAAGTTGAAAGAAGTCAAACACTCCAGTAAAGATTCAAAGAAACGGCAAAAAACAGTTATGTTCAGCGAGGATGTTGACTTTGATGCAGTGTTGGATGCTGCTTCTGCCGGACTTGTTGAAACAGTGAGTTGCATATGATTAATTTATTATATGTTTATTCCCATTATTGTACTCCTAATGAGAAGGGGGGAAAATAAAATGACAAGGAATAAAAAACTATAATGTACTCATTATAGGAATATTGACTAATGATTATGTTTGACCAGAAAAAAAAAGCATGCCATTGATGTTAACTCATTTTTATATTCTGTACCTAGGAAAGAGACAAGTTGGTCCGGAAGGGCATTTTGACTCCTTTTCATAAGCTTAAAGGATTTGAACGTCGTCTTCAACCACCTGGACCATCAGATGCACAAAATTTACCTCCAGAAGAAGAAAATTCTCAGAACCTTGCTTTGGCTAGTGTTGCTAGAGTTGCTCAATCAATATCAGAGGCAGTCCAAACTCGTCCAACAACCAAGCTGCTTGATGCAAAAGATTTACCTAAACTTGATGCACCAACTCGTCCTTTTTACAGACTAAAAAAACCTTTGAAACTTTCCCCTGACACCAACTCAGAAAAGAACAATGACAAGAGAAAGAAACAAAAGAGGCCTTTACCTGACAAGAAATGGAGGAAGGTCATTTCTCGTGAGGAAAAACTTTATGAAGGAAGCGGTATTCTTAATTCATCTCTTTATCTAAAGCATTAGGCATTTCAGAAATTTATTTAATTTTCTGCTTTTTACAAATTAAAATCTCTTAGCCAAAGTATTAGGCATTTCGGTGGTTTCTTTAATTTCAATCTTTTTAAAAATTATTACCGTTCAGTCTCTGTATGATGGATTTTAATTGGCACAGAAGTATTTTTTCCTTAATTATAAATAGTTAATAGAATTTCCTATTCTGAATCCTAGGGTTTAAAGCCGCAAATCGAAAAAGAAGAAGTTTTTGCAAGATGGGATTTTACCATTTATTTAGTGGTAATATTTTACAGTGACTGTGATCTTTGGCCTCAGGGTATTTTCAATTTTAGTTGACAATGATGAAATGAACATCTCAGTCATTGCCCCCTGAAACTTCTTTATTTCTAGAGCTCTGTTAACAATGCTGAACTACAGAGGAACTTGAATCATTGAGTTTCAAATTGAGCATGGAGTCATTACTTGGTATAATGGTAAATGGTAAAATTTCAGGTTAACAAGCATGAGTAAATGAGTTAAAGTTTGAGAGCAGCAACCTTGTGCAAAAAATGCCAAAAGTTAGGTCTGTATCCAGTCCACCCCTCCCAAGACTCCAATAGCTGGGACCATTGGATAATGACTTCTTTAAGTTTTGAATTGAGCTTAAAAAATAGATTACATTTGTGTTTCATACAGCTAAGGTGGCTTTATTTTACCACTTGCTGTTACAGTGCAGGATAACATTTGGACAAGTTTTTATGCTCTTTGCTTTTAAGGGATGCTGTCCTGAATCTGTGGAGTTATTCTTGAAGGGTTGCTATCTGCAAGGTTTGGGTGAGAAAGGAAAAAATCATATAGCATGTGATTCCAGGGGTAGTGTTTTGGGTCATTGGCAGGAAGAACTCAAGGATGTTTCAGAGGAAAGGTTGTTAAGCTGAGGATGCATCATGTATGGCAGAAAATATGGGTCAAACTACATTGCTGGGAAGCAGCATACAGAAGTTTTAATAGAACTAATCACAGTACATTTTCTTTTTATGAAAACCTTTTTGTAAACACAGGGTATTTTTGTTCATGAAATTCCCTGTCCACAGCCTCTAGTTGTACAAGGGTTTCTTTTTCTTTTTGTTAATTTTAATGAAATATACTTTATCTCTTCTCTCTCTATCTCTATCACTATCTTTCTATCTACTACTATTGATCTGTTGAGATTTGCCCTTACTAGAACTTACTCAAGATCTAGGACCATATCATGACACCAACTTAAACTGATCACTTACAAAGCACAGCTTCTTTGCTTCATCTTAACCCCCCACCACCCCCCCCCCCCCAAAAAAAAAAAAAAACAGGAAAGCAATTTTATTTCCTTAAGTAATCCCTATAAATGTTGTTTCTTCATTGTTTAACAATGCATCTATCAGTTAAAAAGAATATTTCCTTCATTGATGTTTTATTGGGATATGAAGGTATGTAAAGCCAAAAGCAAGATGTCAAAATTTATTGATTTCATCTGAGATTTTTATCTATGGCACACATTACTTGTAAAATACATATGACACCATTTTTTGTATTCTTGCCGAGGTAGGTGCATCTGGGCAAGCTGCCTAGATCTTGGACTAAGCGTTTTTTTTTTTTTTTTTTTTTGATAACTCGACTAAGCTAAAATTTTCTTGGTTTGCTCAAGCAACCTGCTCATGGCCTCTGCAGTGATTCCACCGCTAGGATGCCTGGGTTTTGGCAAGTCTTATTGTCTTGGTCTTCACCCTCCTTCAGGATCCATCAGACCAGAAGATTGAGTTTAAAAATGAAATAGTATTTCAAAATCTCAAATATGTAATATATTTATTGTGTAACACCACTCTAGCTGAAAATTTTGAAAATTCCAAAGCTCAGCAACTAATTTCAATTTATCCATCATCTTGTTGGCACTTTCAGATTCATCTTATCCTTCTGGAAATTGACTTTAGTAACCTCCTCCTAGAGAAACCTCTCATTGTCTGCATCTTTTGATTGAAACTGAACCATTAAATCACTTTCCTTATTTTTTATGTACTTGAATCTTCTCATTTCCATTTATTATTGACTTTTCAGAAGATGATCAAAGGGATAGCTTTGTAACTTCTGATTATGAGGAAGAAAATCAAGATGTTGAAGATGATGACAGAGAACCTCCTTCTGTCATGCTTGAAGGAGGGTTGAAGATCCCAGAAGCTATTTTCAGCAAACTCTTTGACTATCAAAAAGTGGGAGTGCAGTGGCTATGGGAACTGCATTGCCAAAGAGCAGGTGGAATTATTGGAGATGAAATGGGTCTTGGAAAGACCATTCAGGTCATATCATTCCTTGGAGCTTTGCATTTCAGCAAGATGTATAAATCCAGCATTGTTATCTGCCCTGTTACCCTCTTACATCAGTGGAGGAGGGAAGTAAAGAAGTGGTACCCAAGCTTTCATGTTGAAATACTACATGATTCTGCTCAGGTTCCTATTAAGAAAAAGAAACGGGTGAATTCTGATAAAACTGATGAAGCAAGCGAAGGCTCACCTGACAGTGATAATGAGATGCCTCTGCTAACTAAATCTACCAAAAAGTGGGATTTCTTGATAGAACGTGTTTTGGGGTCAGAATCTGGATTGCTCATTACCACTTATGAACAGCTCCGACTGCTTGGGGAAAAACTGCTTGATGTGGAATGGGGTTATGCAGTACTTGATGAAGGACATCGGATCCGGAACCCAAATGCAGAGATTACTCTAGTTTGCAAACAGCTGCAAACAGTGCATCGTATAATAATGACAGGTGCACCAATCCAGAACAAGTTGGCAGAGCTGTGGTCATTGTTTGATTTTGTATTTCCTGGAAAGTTGGGAGTCTTACCCGTATTTGAGGCAGAATTTGCAGTTCCCATTTCAGTTGGTGGTTATGCAAATGCTACACCATTACAGGTATCCACAGCTTATAGGTGTGCAGTTGTCCTACGTGACCTGATCATGCCTTACCTCCTCAGGCGTATGAAAGTTGATGTTAATGCTCATCTTCCAAAGAAAACTGAGCATGTTCTCTTTTGTAGCCTCACTGCAGAGCAGCGATCTGTATACCGGGCATTTCTTGCAAGTTCTGAGGTTGAACAAATTTTTGATGGCAGTAGGAATTCTCTGTATGGAATTGATGTCATGCGCAAGATTTGCAACCATCCTGATCTGCTTGAGAGAGAGCATTCATCCCGCAATCCGGATTATGGCAATCCAGAGCGCAGTGGAAAAATGAAAGTTGTATCCCAAGTGCTTAAAGTCTGGAAGGACCAGGGTCACCGCGTTCTACTTTTTACCCAGACCCAGCAAATGCTTGACATTCTTGAGAATTTCTTGATTTCTGGTGGCTATAGCTACCGTCGAATGGATGGGCTTACTCCTGTGAAACAGAGGATGGCCTTGATAGATGAATTCAATAACTCAAATGATGTATTTATATTCATTTTAACAACTAAAGTTGGTGGTTTGGGAACAAATCTGACTGGTGCTAACAGGGTTATCATATTTGATCCTGATTGGAACCCTTCTACAGACATGCAGGTATACTAAACTGGTTGTGCATTTTGTGTTCTATTTACCCACAAACACAGAAACAAGTGCATATAAGCTAACGAAATTTTTGCATGAAGCAGGCAAGAGAACGAGCTTGGCGGATTGGGCAGACGAAAGATGTAACAGTCTATAGATTGATTACTCGTGGAACCATAGAGGAAAAGGTATATCATAGGCAGATTTACAAACATTTTTTGACCAATAAGATACTGAAGAACCCACAGCAGAGAAGGTTCTTCAAAGCAAGAGATATGAAGGATTTATTTACTTTGCAAGATCACGAGGAGAATGGTACCACTGAAACATCCAATATTTTTAGTCAATTATCTGGGGATGTAAATATTCTTGGCATTCATAAAGATAATCAGGATAAACAGAGAACTCCCAATGCAGCAGAAGCTTTTACTGATGATGCTGCAGTTGACAGAGCAAACAACTCGGCAAATGGACCATCCCCAAGAAAAGGGAAAGAAAAAATTGATCAAAGTGATGGTGAAGTAGATGAAGAAACAAGTGTGCTGAGGAGTCTTTTTGATGCTCATGGGATACATGTAAGTTTCCACGTCATTTATAGTTTCCTTTGTCAGCTAATGATACTCTATGATGTATTTTCATTATACATATAATCTTCTTTTACGCTCACTAAGGACATTCTGCATCTTCTGCCTTCTTCAGAGTGCTGTGAACCATGATGTGATAATGAATGCCAATGATGAGGAGAAGATGAGGCTTGAAGAGAAAGCTTCCCAAGTTGCACAAAGGGCAGCTGAAGCTCTACGTAAATCAAGGATGCTCCGGAGTAAAGACAGTATATCAGTTCCAACATGGACTGGGAGATCAGGTGCTGCTGGTGGCCCACCAGAAGCCCGCAAGAGGTTTGGCTCAACCTTGAACTCCCAATTGGTCAACTCCAGATCTTCAGAAGGGACTTCTGGCAGTGGGGAAAGCAGGATAAATGGTTTTGCAGCTGGATCATCTGCAGGTAAGGCTTTATCTTCAGCTGATCTACTGGCTAAGATCCGAGGAAATCAAGAAAAAGCAGTCAGTGATGGTCTGGAACATCAGTTTGGTTTGGTCTCTGGTTCTAGTAACAACACACAGCATCTGTCAGATAGTGGGCCTTCTAGTTCTAGACCTTCTAGCAAGCTTGCTGCAGTACAACCTGAGATATTGATCCGCCAGATATGTACATTTATACAGCAAAGAGGTGGAAGTACCACTTCATCCAGTATAGTAGAGCATTTCAAGGACAGGATACCCTACAAGGATCTAGCCCTATTTAAGAATCTTTTAAAGGAAATAGCTACATTAGAGAAAAATCCAAATGGATCTTCGTGGGTTCTAAAGCCAGAATATCAACAATGATCTTTCTAATTGGGGTTCTTTGGTTCATAAATGCTGATTCCATCAGCTTATGCATGAAAATAATGGATCTACTCGAGTATTCCTTTCTGTTCCCACATTCATGCAATTGGATGAGATGTTCCCTCCTTGTAAGTTCAGTTTTGCAGTGCTGTTAATGGTTGGGTAGCTCTTTTAGGATTGGATCCAGTCTGAAAGTCTGGGAAGTTATCCTGGAAAAGGTCTTTCTGTAATTTTTTTTGGGGTGCAGAAATGGCTCATCTACTATTATTTTAGCCATTGCACCTGCTTATTTTGAAATACTGAACATAGATACTTTAGTCTTACTGCTGTATAGTGTTGAATGTTCTTCAGGTTTCTAATTTTGAGTTAATGAGGTACTTAAAATTTGGCCAGATCAAATTCACTTATCCAATTTGAAACTGACTGTTGATCAATGCCTATGTTCCCATTTTTGTATTACCCATATAATCTCAAAAAAAAAAATAAAGAGGGCCTTGTTACACTTGTCTTGATGTGAACCGATTTAAGAGGCTTCAGAATGTGTATGAATTTATTCTTGAGATGGTTGTCAACTTTTGAGAACTTTCAGAGGCTAGATGATTAAGATTTGCCTTGTGAGTCTTTTTGGTGAGTTTCCGCTCACCTCGGAAGCCTCTTCGAGGGGGCTTGACCTCTTGAAACAGAAGATGGAGAGAAAAGAGAGGGGAAGGAAGCAATAAACTGGACTCAGGGAGAAGAAAAATTAAGGAGAATCATTCATTGCTTTCATTATATGATGATGGCCTTATATAACTGGCCTACAGGTGTAATATCAGAGCGAATATACTCTGATTCATGGGTAACTAACTTTGGCAGATAACATGGATGGAATATCCTCTGGCGGCAGAGTAACCAACTCTGAGTGTAACTAATTCTGGGGCTCTGTCGCTTGTCTTCTCTGTCTCCTTGTGAATGGCTGATAGGTGGTGGCCTGCTCCACTCCCCTAGTGGGTTCTGGAAGGAGTGTTTGGGTCTCAACAGTTCCTCCCCCCTTAGCACTGACCTTGCCCTCAAGGTATAGGTTGGGAAACCTCTCATTCAGCCTTAGATAAGGTTCCCAAGTGGTCTCTTCTGGAGGCAGTCCGGCCCATTCAACCTTGGCTTCTGGCACAACCTGCCCTCCTCGCCGAATCCATCGGAAATCCACAATCTTGATAGGCTCTATGTAAATGTCCCCTTCCTCTGTAAATTGGGGTAAGTTGGGTGAGATAGGGGTATGATTCCCCATAGCTTTTCGGAGAAGTGAGATGTGAAACACCGGGTGAAGCTTCGAGGTAGCAGGGAGGTCCAATCTGTAAGCAACAAGGCCCACTCTCTCCAGCACCTTATAGGGCCCATAATATCTGGGAGCTAGCTTGTGCCAAGCCCGTCTCATCACTGAGACCTGGCGGTAAGGTTGGAGCTTAAGRTAGACAAAATCACCTACCTGAAACTCTAGTGGGCGGTGGTGAGAGTCATAGTAGACCTTCATCCGTTGTTGGGCTTTAATCAAATTGGCCTTGAGCAGTCTAAGGATCTCGTCTCTTTCGAGTAGGCGAGTCTCTACTTCTGCCACCTTAGCCGACCCAAATTCATAAGGTAATATGGGAGAAGGTTCTCTGCCATATAGAACCTTGAAGGGTGTCATTCCTGCCGCTGACTGATAAGTCATGTTGTACCAGTATTTTACCCACGGAAGCCAGTGGGCCCACTGTTTGGGCTTCTCCCCTATGAAGCATCTCAGGTAGGCTTCTAAGCATCGATTAAGAACTTCAGTCTGCCCATCCATTTGGGGGTGGTAACTTGTGGATGGGTGCAGTTGGGTTACTTGCAATCGGAAGTATTCCTTCCAGAATGAACTCAGGAAGGCAGGGTCACGGTCCGAGACAATGGATCTTGGTGTCCCATGCAATTTTGCGACGTCCCGTATGAAAATGTCAGGCACCATTGCTGCGGTGTAAGGGTGAGGCAGGGCAGAGAAATGGCTATACTTGGTGAGGCGGTCAACTACTACCATGATAACCTCCTTCCCTAAAGAACGGGGAAGTCTGGTGATGAAGTCCATGGAGAGGTCTTCCCATACTTGCTATGGAATCTTGAGGGGTTGTAGAAGGCCCGCGGGAGACTGAGGAGTATTTCTGTTGTTGACAGGTTTGGCATTCGGATACATAGTGTAATACGTCCTTGCGCGTTCCTACCCAATGGTAGTGGCTGCTGAGCCTCTTTAGAGTCCTTAGCACTCCTGAATGTCCCCCCAAAGTGGAATCATGAAACAACTTCAATAGTTCAGTTTTGTGGCTGGAATTTGGAGCAATCACGAACCTGCCCTTAAAGAAGAGGTCTGGTCCTACAATTTGGTAACCTGCAACCTGGGAAGGGTCCTGCCTCCATTTTTCCCTAATGTCCTGCAGCTGCGGGTCAGACCTTGCCTCTTGCCGTATAGCTTCAAACAAGGAAAAGCTGGGCTGAGAGTAGGTTAGTTGGGCCAGATTCTCTACCCGCGATAAGGCATTAGCTACCCTGTTGGCGGGCCCAGGTTTACACTCTATTCGGTAGTCGAAGCCCATCAACTTACTAAGCCACTTTTGCTACTCCGGGGTGTGCACTCTTTGTTCTGCTATATACTTCAAACTTCGTTGGTCTGATCTTATGATAAATTGGCGTCCCAATAGGTATGCTCGCCATTTCTGGACTGCCATTACCACTGCCATCATCTCCTTGACATAAGTGGACTGGTTCTGGTGAGCGGCTGATAGGGCCTTGCTGAAGTAAGCAATGGGTTGTCCCTTCTGCATCAGGATGGCCCCTACCCCTGCACCTGAGGCATCACACTCTATCTGAAAGGGCTGGGTGAAGTTCAGAAGAGTAAGGACTGGAGGGCTCGAAACTGCTGTCTTCAAGTCTTCAAAGGCCCGTTGGGCCTCATCAGCCCAACTGAAAGAATCCTTCTTCAACAGATGCATTAGAGGGGCGACCATGAGCCCATACCCCTTAATGAAGCGCCTATAATACTCAGTAAGCCCAAGGAAACCCCTGAGAGCCTTTACAGTAATGGGCTTGGGCCATTTTTGGATGGCATCTATCTTTTCTGGGTCTGCCATGACCCGCCCTGCTGCAACCACATGGCCTAAGTATTGTATCTGTTTTTGTCCAAAAKAACACTTGGTCATTTTGGCATGTAACTGATGTTCCCTTAGAGTGGTGAGGGTAAGTGTCAGATGTTCCATATGGGTGTCCCAATCCTTGCTATAAACCAGAATGTCATCGAAGAATACTAAAATAAATTGCCTTAAGAATGGCCTGAAAATGTCATTCATGAGGGCCTAGAAGGTGGAGGGGGCATTTGTGAGTCCAAACGGCATAACCAGAAACTCATAATGGCCATCGTGGGTTCTGAAGGCTGTCTTTTAGAGAACACCTGTGCTTCTCCTAACTCGTCCAGCAATTCATCGATGAGGGGTATCGGGAACTTGTCATTCAATGTAATCTGATTCAGGGCCTGGTAATCTACACAAAACCGCCAACTACCATCTTTCTTTTTTACTAGGAGTACAGGGGATGAAAATGGGCTGGTGTTGGTCTGTATATGCCCCTTGTTCATCAGCTCTCTTACCGCCTTCTCAATTTCTAGCTTCTGGAAATAGGGATATCTATATGGCCTCACATTGGCCGGTTTAGAATCTGGTAAGAGGGGTATCTGATGGTCATGGGCCCGGGGTGGAGGTAATTGGCTTGGTTCCTTGAACACATCACCAAACTGATCGAGTATCAATCGTAGTGCCTCGTGTTGGGCTTCCGTGAGTTGGTCACAGCCTTGATTGTTTAAAGTTGGAACTGTGGGCTGCATGCCTAAGTGCATAAATAAGGGCTATCCAGTATCCTTGGAGGCCCGTAACATGAAAGCTACAGTATCACCTTGGGGACTCGGAGGCTGCACCCCTTGTAGATGGCAAGTCTGACCATCCTGATAAAAGTCCATTGTCATTTTGGCCCAATCACAAAGTGCAGGCCCTARGCCACGTAACCAATGAATTCCCAGAATAATATCAGCCCCTGAGAAATCCAATGGGTGGAGATCTACCACAAAATAGTGGCCTTGTATAAGGATCTTTTCCTTCTTGCACACACCATCACATAACAGCTGACTTCCATTAGCCACATAGATTGAAAAGAGTGGAGTGGGTTGTATAGTCATACCTAGTTGCCTTGCTAATCGGCAAGTGATGAAATTCGGGGTAGAGCCACTGTCAATCAAGATCATCACAGATCGGCCCACCAACCTTCCTTCTACTTGCATGGGACTGAAGAGGGTTGAGGCCCATGAGGGCGTGTAAGGAGATCTCGGCTCCAACAGGTTCAGGTTCATCCGAGATCAGTTCACAGTCTTCTACGTGTTCTGGAACGGTCCCTTCCGGTTCTTCCTTTGTCTGAAGGAGAAACACTCGTTGGACTCTGCACTTATGGCCCGGTCCAAACTTGTCATCACAATTGTAACAGAGGCCCTTCTCGCGTCGGGCCTGCATCTCAGCCCACGAGAGGCGTTTGAAGGGCACAGTGGGCCTGGGCAAAATGGGCTTCTGAGAATCCCCAACTTGTTTCATGGGTTGTTGTTCGGCCCGTTGGGGAACCCTCACATTCGGGTAGGATAGCTTCCTGGTTCTGCGCATACTAGCGATCTTCTCTTCTTGCAGACGAGCCATACCCACTACCGCCATGACTGTCGCTGATCGAAGAGCTCTCACTTCCAGGTGGATGTCTTCTTTGAGACCTCCCACAAAACACCCTACCAAGGCCTTCTCCGACCATCCATGTACCCTGGTCGCCATTCTTTCGAACTCGAGCTGGTAGTCTGCTACCGTCCCAGTCTGTTTTAGTCGAGTGAGGAGTTC